AGGGATAAGAATGCAAATGGATAATACAGTGCTCCCTCAATGCATGAGCCACTGCTCTGTGTAACCTCTGCATAACCTATTATTCTGCATAACCTATTACAGTAATCATACACTGAGTAGGCTTTCAAAGGGGATTTATGGTTGAAGTTCAATAAAGTGGTGTTGAGACATGAAATTGAACTGTGTCAATTGCTCTCTTAATCAGTTTCCTTAAGTACATTTACCATAACAATGTACAATGATATGAGTGCAGGTCTAAATTCAGAGAGTTTCAGTTCCAAAGTTGGATTTGAAATGGTTGATCATGCTAGGCTCCCATTTCCATGTATATCGGCATGCTATTACTGCAGAACAGGTGAAATACTGCTTCTCTCTAGGTATCTTGCATATGTTTGTATACCTATTAATAGCTGAGTTAATATATTTCTCTGAAAGGTGAAAGACTACTCCTATAGTACTCTTTAACTGCAAGTAGTGGTCTGGAGGGGGGTAAGTACCATTTACTACAGCTTCTGAGTGTTTACAAGACTATCAACACACAATTCAAATTTTCTATCAGCTTGTTGATTTAAAGGGATGAAGGTTGCACAGCTGACCCTAGCTGTGTGGAGCCTTATGCTTTGTGTGCAGACAGGCGCTTTGTCTGAAGTGCGACAAGTTGACCTACTTCTTGATTTTGTTCAGCATGCTCAGGTAGAGTATAGGAAATACTCCTAGACAATTGCTTCCTCTGTACAGCAAAAATGAAGCCTTCAGCTTAGAATCAGTAACTTACTGCACAGTTCCCTCCATCAGAGGTTTGTTTGGAGGTGGGTCTTTGTGGGGATGGGGGACCAGCTGTAGTCCTGCTTTTCATTTAAGAAATGCTATGAAGAAAGATTGCTCCTGCTTCTGTTACTGTGGTATGGGCTACTACCTATTTCCCACTTGCTTGGGAAAGTGCCTTTCCTAGCTGGAGGATGGTGATTGCATGTATTCCCATAGGCTTTTTCCATGTGTGTTCTGTTACAAGTGTATTGCTCCTTCTTTGAGAATGCTTTGGGCTAATGGAGCTAGATGCCTGCTACACAACATGAGTTGGGGAACTAAGCTTGAAAAGCATGCAAGAATTTTAGACTTTTTTCAGATGGTCATAATCTAGTATATAATCTCTGTACATGAACTCTGTTCTGTTATTAGTGTTCATAAAATTCCAGCCACTTGCTCAGATATGAAGTACTACTGGATGGTAATAGGTAACATTCTTTCTCTGCAATACACATCCCTACTGCTTCTACAGCTGGCAGTGGCAGTGATCCATCTTCTGTAGCACAATCACTTGTGTGGCAATATTGAATCGGGAAAACTCATCCGGTAGAAGCATAACTTTATTAGGCTGTTTTTAAGCCTATTTGTGAGTTCTCCTAACTAGCTTCTGCATCACTGCAGAAACTTTTCTTGCTGATAGATCAACAGGGGCTTGTAAATTTTAACTCTCACAAGATGAAGTCCTGTAAACTCAAAGCAGCCTGAACTGTATGAGGTTGACTCTTCCTTATGTTAATTGTACTAGTTTTAATGCTTCTTATTTAGCCCAAAATGAAGCTACAGCAAGTAGTAAGCTTTACTATCATGTTCTTCAAAGATGATCTGGCCAATGGATATTATAATAATTTTTGCTTGAGTTAACTAACATCTCAGGGTTAGAAACCTTCTGTTCCTGCCTGATCTTGAGGTGTAATAGGGCACTGCCACATGAGGGATGAGACTGAAACATGGCCAAGGCATGTTCCTAGCCGATCTCCTTTCTGTAGTAGTGAGTGAGACTGCAGGTGGCACCAAGCACTGCAGGAGAAGCCGCAGGCAGGGACCCCGTGAGGTCAGGCAATGCCAAGCTGGAGCAAGAACGCAAGTCTAACGCCATTGCTGTTGCAACATCCTCAAGACCAGATTTTGCTATTGTTTATCTTGGTGGTACCTGTGGAAAGAACTACCTGCCTCGCTGTGTCTAAGCCTTCAATTTCTTAAGAACAACCAAGCAGGGTTTTTACGCCTCTGCAGTAGTGAAACCCTGTGTGTCTCTGTCCCTTGTTAAACCTCCAGCTTGAGGAGGTTTGTTACTGTTACATCAGTAACAAAGCTGTGGTGCTCTCTACATGTCTGTAGAGAACTGAAAAAATTAACTTATATAAAGGTAATCGTGCAAAGTAAACTTCTATAACCTTACTCAATTACACTGCATAGGTTATATTGTATGAGTTTACAAGGATAATGGCACAAGGACTTGTGAAACAGGTAAGTAATTCTTTTCTAAAGTCTGTACAATACTGCATGTTCCGGTAGAGGGTGCTACAGACAACCTAACTCTCTCCTCTCTTTAAGAAGCTGATGTGGAGTTTTATCCAGTGTGGGGGCATTCAGGTATGAGATATGTTATTTTCTCAAGAAAATACTGTGACAAAATCCACTGGAGTGCCTTTTGCAGTTACAGGGAAGAGATGTGCTAATTCCTGAGTATTTAACTCAATAAAATATAAAATACAAGACAGAATCCTTTAAAAGTGTTATGTTAAGCTATTATTACTTTAAATACACATTCCTTGTTTTAATTGTTTTTAGTGTATATTTTGTTTGATCTTCTCAGCACACTTTAAAAAAAAAAAGGGGGAGAATGAGAATGTAGAATGTTTATTGAATATTATTTTCATTTTTCTTTCCTGGAGTACTTGTTTGAGAACTACCTAATATACTGAGTTAATAATAGAACACGGCACATTCTTCTCTAGATGCCTGACAGCTCAGTGGCTTAATAATTAACTTTCTGGGGACCAAGACTGTTTTTATCCAAGAAAAATGTATTCAGCCTATCCACCGATGAGCCCTGCTCTTGGCAGCACGCACTTCCACGAGCAATGATCTACAGTGATTATGAGTAAGTGACTGGGGTGAGTCACTCCCTTATTCTAAGAAAATGAAAACTATTTCTGAGGTTAGGATCACAGTCACTCATTAGACTGTGTCTCTAGCTTTAAAAAAAATGGTGGAAGCAAAATGAGAGAGAATTGTTATTGTTCCTAGTTCTTGATTCTGCGTTGTCCAGCCAGACTTGAACTAGCCTTCCTTGTTCTGCAAATGCTTAACTCGGACATTTAGATATAAATGCCTGGTAGCTTATAAACTAGTCTGCTGACTTCTCTGTGTTGAGAACGATAATAACAGACCCCTGCTGACATCAATTGGCTTGGAATGCAGTTGTTGCCATCGTGCCACAGATAAAATAGCATTAGTAAGTTTTCAGTCTAAGGTCCCAGCAAATGTAACTGTCTCAGAAATTCTGATGCTAGGAAATGCTGCCTCTGTGACTGCTTCTACTTGCTATTTCCAGAGATGTTAGGCTCTGGAAGAAGAGTAGAGGCTTTGCAGAGCTGTTCAATAGTATGTCTATTTTACTCTCTAGTAAAGAAAGAACTGTTTAAACTGGAGTAGCTAGGAGTGAAGTAGTCAAAATAAGAAATCTTTGATTGCCCCATGAGTTAAGCTGTGAAATAGCTGCTTCCTGCTATTCCATATAGAATGATTAGAACTGCACAGAGGTATATCACTGAAAAAGAACAGTTCTAAGTTTACAGGGACAGGAATTCACTAACAATATTTCACAGGTCTCTTCTGTTTCTAGATCCATTTTGCAGCAAAGCAATTGGAGATGCAAGAAAGTTACCCACAAATGTCCAGAGAGTCGCTGATAGAATTAGCCTGGAACTCAGGAATCCTGCTGTCCATTTCTCTAGTTAACCCCTAGGACCTCTGGTCAAGACTATCCTTTTGCCGAGTGTAGGATTGTCTCAGGAGCATTGAATCTCATCTGTCATAAGGTATAGTATAACTGTTTAAGCATAGGACTAAGTATTGGGAGTGACACAGTACTTCTCCCCCAAAATTGCAAACATTCACAACAAGTAATTACTGAAGATTAATAATGACTACTGCTACTTAGCCTAGCTAAGAAAAAGTTGGCAATTTCACCTGAAACCTAACAGGAAACACATTAACCCTTTGGCTTGTGTTATAAACTTACCTTTGACTTACCTTCAGGGGAACGTGTTAAGGGAAAAAAGCTTAAGAGAACTAGGTGGGCCCTCCTACTGGATTTGACTGGAGAGTGTGCACCTAACCCTATTGCAAATTTTGGACAAAACACATTCAAAAGAGCACTCCAAACTGTAAGTGTGTAAAGCTGTTCATTGTGTTTGGAAAACACTTCCTTCCTATTCGATCCGAAGCATGGCATTAGCACATGCCAGGCAGAGACTCAGCATGTAGATGGCTAAGAACTAATTTGTCATAGCCCTTCATCTGGAATAAGGGTCACTGGATTCCAGTCCTGTTTCTGACTGCAGAGCACTCTTTGTCTCAGACTGGCTCCAGGAAATGGACACTCTTCCGCAGAAGCTAGAAGATTTCGTGGAAGAGCCATGGCCTGTTTCCAGGTTGCAGTTCACCCACTGCCCTAGGGAGCCTCATTAGAGGGAGAGAAGTGAAGTTGAGATTTAAAGGGGTGAAGAAAAGAGAAAAGCTAAGTCAGCGTGGAGAAAAATCCTGTTAATTCTTATTAAGCTGAACTTGTATAACAACACTAAGATGTTGTGCTAATCATTTAAATAAAACAATGGGCCAAATCCAGAAGTGATGTAGAAATCGTACATAGTTGACTGACATGCTAATGGCAAAATCAATGGTATTGACTTCACGGGGGGAAGGGGTTGCATTACACCCACAAGCTCAATGAAAGAGGCAGTATAATGAGGAAGTGTCCTACTTTATTTCATATCTTAGTTTGCATTGCAATGTGAAATGAAAATCACAGGATCAGCTTTTGAATGTGTGATTATTTTTTATAATAATGGTGGAAGGCTGCCTATTTTGTTCTCTGTAACAAAATTGGATTGTGTGCAGGTTCACAGTGGTAGAATAGCTATAATACCAGGGCTATGTAACTGTGCTCTGTGGGCATGGGGAAGATTGGATGTACAAAGTTATCAGAAAATCTTGAACAATCTCCAAGACACACTTCCATCATCCAGACCCTTCATTTTTACCAGCTATATGAAACAGATGTAGAAATAGCTCTTTCAGCAGTGGATTGCTACACATATTTAGGCTGTAGACATTCAGTTCTGTTCAAAGCAATTTTATGAAATCATTTGCAGAATGTGGCTGTTAATCAGAAGCAGCAATTTGACGTTACACATCCATCTCCTGCCCCCCAACTCCCCTTCCCAATTCTGAGCAGGAAATGACACTTGGACTGAACTCAGCGTTCTGGATTTCTGGATGGGCTCTCTAGGAATGAGGAGGGACTTGAATTCTCTCCATATGTCATTTCCTTTCCCCTAATGGCTGAAAAAATAACATTGTTGTAGTCCGTCTAACTTACAATAGGGAGAACATCCCTAATGAGGGGGGGGCTACCAGCTGGACGTTCACATTCCCTTTCCTAAGAACTGCTTTGTAAAATTTGACTTGAATTAAGCAGGAATATTTCTTTTCTGTGTAGGAAGATTTTTATGTATTGATTAAACTGAAGCTACTGCCCTACTGGTACTGAAGTGCATAGCAACACCTGCAGACTGTGGCCAGATGTGGATTAGGAAAGGAAAAGGGTAACTAGAAGAAGAATGGTATCAAACGTGCAAGATTTAATTTAAGTTGGAAAGAAAAAACAGAGGTATTTGTGAAAGAATGACAATGAGGATCTAATAATTTCTAATAAAAAAACATTTTAATAGGGAACAAATAATCCTAGAAGTTAGTTACGAAAGAAAGCGGATGCAGTTCATTCCTGCGACCAGTTTTTGTCCAGCCTACCTCTTGAAAAAAAAAAAAAAAAAGTCTGTTATAACCAATAGCATATGCAAATGTCTTAAGCTGCTGTAAAATACAAAGTTTTATTTGCTGTGTTGCACTGTGGACTTGTAGCTGTCAACAGAATTTAGCGTGCCACAGTTACAAACAAAAAAAAAACCTCAGGAATAAACATGACAAAAAATATTCTAGCTAAACGGAAAGCTTACTTCCTCATAGCTAACCAACTGTGGACTTGACTCAAACTGGAACATAATGTCTTTCCAGCAATATATTCCAAATGTTTGTTATATTTGTATTAACCAAACTGTGCAAGGCACTTTGCAGAACAAATGAGAGCATTTGCTCAAAAAGCAGAATTCTGCAGTCAATGAATGAATATGTGTGAATATAGGGGCTGTATGCATCTGCTTGCAGGACGATTACATCTGATTACAGGACTAAGACCTCACGTCTTTTACTAGACCTACCGTCTAATCAGATATATTGCTCCTGAATTCTACTGTTAACAAGAAAAAAAAAAGTTTTTCTCCTGTTACATTTTAGAGGGTTTCAAGAGGGGAATAAAAGAACGATTCAAGACACGCATGCTGGCAGATTTTGCTTTAAATTATTTTTAGCACTTCATTAGCCCCACTAACCTACTTAATTATCTGTGCTGTTTTCATATGGCTTGCAACCTTGCTTTAACATTTTTTAGGATGAAACCATTTTTAGAGATAACTATTTTAAGTCCTTTCAAATCACTTTCATGGTGGATGCGTACGTGATCCTGTTAAAGGAAAGCACAAAAGACGTTAGTACAGATTTGGGGAGGCGGCTGAAATTTCTGCAGTTCAAAAAGTGTTAGTGGGGAGGGGGAACTGAGGATTGTGTTTATTACCTGCAATCCTGTCATAAGATTGATCTTATTTATAGATTTAGTTTTCATATAATCTGTTTATAAATGTCTACAAACTTGTTAAGGTGATACAAAGAGGAGAATATATACCTCAGTGCTTCGGAAGCCAGTTAGCCTGGGTTATGTGCAGTAATTCACAAAACTGCATGGGTTTATATGTGTGCACCTTTTAGGTCAGCTCATTCTGCAGCTTAGCGGTTGCTTCCCCTTTGCAGAAGATAATGATCTTGGGAGGGTTAAGGTTTTGTTACCTATTTTTGTCTTTGAGCCCTGCAGCTTCAAGGACCTGTAGGTAATATTGTTATAATTTGATAATTATCCCGGGATTATCCTTTGAGCTGAAACCTCTGGAAGTAACTGTTATGAGACACATGAAAAACTTCTACTCGCTTGAAGAAACAGAAAATCAGAACTATAAGGTGAGGGCTCATTAGATTAAATGGTTTACTCTGTTCCAAGATGTTTGCTTTCGTGGCCAATGTTAGACAGACAGAGGAGTCTGTCACCAACCTCATTGCTTATCCATGTCAGTATTTGTCTCCAGTAGCCACAGTCCCCACAATAGATTGGTATGAGATAAATTGGCCCTCTTGAAAACTTCATCTTAACCCCTGACATTTATGGAATTCTGTAAAGCCAGAAACATGAGGTTTTAATCCCTGAATACCTAGATAAGTAACAAAGGCCAATGAGAACAAGCTAATTATGCCAAAGTATTAGGGCTTATCAGATAATGTTCTAGGGTTCTTTGGGAATCAGGAAAGCATCTCTGCTTTCCTTGGCTGCATAGATGGAAGGTGCACATAGAACATTTTTTGCTTCTTCCAAAGCATTAAATCCTGGCTGTGGCCCAAGCAGGATGCTAACTAGGCAGACCAAGAGATTGATTTAACATGGCAGCTACCTTCCAATGTATCACTGCTGATAAACAGTGTCTAAGGAGTGAATTTATAGCAGCGGGACTGAGTCAGCTTTTGGCATCAATGTCAGTGGCACCCTGCTCTCATCAGCGTAATCAAGACTCAGAGAGACTTACAGTGTAGGAGATCTTACAGCTCACCTTTTGCAGACAACAGAATTATTATTTCAAATTGATGCTTGGCCGTGGACGATAGGAAAGATTGGAGAAGACTTGCTATTTCCTTAGTGGCTAAATAATATGGCTTGGTTGAAAGCAGTGCTGTATGTCAACTCTTCTAAATAGTTGTTTGGCCTGACAGTTTCTGATAACACTTCATTTGTCTAAGCTGCATACCACTGGGGCAAACACATGCTGTGTCAAGTAGAATCAGACAATATCTGGAGACAGATGTTGTAGTACAGTAGTAAAGTAAATTCTTGATACATGTCGCTCAGAGGAGACTGTTTCTAACTGTCTTTCTCTAAGATCTCAGTTTTTTATGGACCTGCTTATATCAGCCAAATAAATCTTCCAAGGGTAAGATTCTACAATTGCTTCATTCACAGTGCAGCACAAGAAAGGCCTATAGAGTAGTTACACGATGGAACGTGCAATTTTCCAGGAAATCTTAGTAATTTTCAGTAATACTTAACAACTGAAACTAAGCTCTGCCCTCTGTGCTGGACTGTTAAAAATGCTATGCAAAAAGTGTGATTGGGTCATGAGTGGGACGCTGTACATCCAACAGCAGAGAACAGTGCTGACTCCAGCTGGGGAACAGGGCTGGGGTGGGAACACTGGTGTAAACAAGAATAAAATACGTTGGATTTCCAGTCATTTGTCCAAATGCCAGGACATGTTTTCTCACTTTAAATGAATGATAGACTCACCTCTTTCAGAAAGTGAATTTTAGCCTCCAGCTAGTAATAAAATACAATGTACTGCATCTACTTATTCTGTATCAATGCCTACCTATTCTTTAAAAATCTGCCTCCTCTTCTAAAATCACATCAGGATAGGGCTGCTCTGCAGGACATGGTGAGGAAATAACATGGCTAAAGAAGTGCATGGAATATCTGTGCATCAGTTACTAATCTGTTCTGGATGGATGGACTTAGAAGTTATCTTAGTGACTAACCACTGGAAAATCCTGTGATATGGGAGCTCATGCATTTTTTTTGTAGCCACAGCTGCAGTCATTTCCCTTCAGAGACACATCATTTCCCCAAGACACATCCTGTCTCAGAGGACTATGGTGTCTGCTGCTCCAAGCTTCTGTCCCCTTTTTCAGTAGCCGGCTCATGGGTGGAGATTTCCTTCCTAGTTTCTTCTCCTGAAAAGCTCCATCGTGCTCTCTAGCTTGAGAAATGGATTAAATCTTGACCTCTTGCATAAACATTGTCTCTACATGCCAAAGGGAGCCTTAGTGAGAACCGGAGTCTCTGTCTAGACATGTTTCTTCATCATATAACTTGGATAGGTGTCTCCTATTGCTGGGTTAACTCTCTCTGTCTCTGGGTAGTAATGATGTCAGATATTTGGGTATTTGGGCATTTGCATCTAAATGCCTTAATGCAGTTATTCAGTTTGTCATAATTCTCAGCAACTAAAACAGTGCTCCGGCCTGGCAATTTTCATAGTCAGCAAAAGAAAATAAGGAATCTTACACAAAATTAAATTATCTTTTCCTACTTTTCTCTTCCTGAAACGCAAAGCACTTCATATGTGACTTCAGTAGAGATGAGTTTGATGCTTTTGTACAGAGTAGCAGCAGGGAAGATAACAAAAAGAACCTCCTAGAGGACAAAGTTCTTCTGTTCAGGGACAGGACAAAAACGTGATGGATCTGCATGAATTTAGGAAGTGCCTTTGCTGTAGCAAGAAGTTATGAAAGGATTAAAGAAGGATTAAAAGAAAAACCCGCACCAAAGAGACAGGCTAGGAGAGTGGTGCCCTTAACAGTCAAAGATGTTGATGGAGTAGGTCAAGACTGAGAGAGCTCACAAGAGAACAGCATTCTAGGTGGCATCTGGAAGTCATGAGCTGTGGAAATTAGTGAGGCATAAAAAGATTCTTCAAGCTGAGTAAGGACACCAAAATCAAGGCACCTTTTGTTTCATTATCTTTCAGACAGTGAAGCAATACAGGGTCTTGCTCCAAGCTCATCATCTTTTACTTGTGTGACTCTCACAGGGCTTGTAGCGGCCACGGTCCAGTCGCTTTTGCTCGCTGATCTCTTGCTGAGTATTTCAGCACAGTTAGTATTTTGCCTATCTTTAAAGGAAACACCTCGCTATGGCCATTGCTCTTTTGAGAAATAGTTTCTCCAGATTCCAGTTTTCATAAAATGTTGGAATCTGAGCTTGATGTTGTAAGTTTATCATTATTAATGACTAGATTTTACTGAGTAGCGCATTGGGACATCAACTCAGGTATGGCTTACTTGGCATTAGGCACTGTATTAACATGATAAGAGAAAGTCCCTGCTTTGAAGATCCTTGCTGTTTGTCATGGAAATTGGCTTGGGACAGAGAGAACATGCTAGTGTAGAACACAGTATGAAGTCAGGAAACAGAAAGACTCTTTTTTAATGATGTCTTGCATAGAGGTACACAGGAATGCTTTGAAAGTGAATTAGTTAATCAGGTAAAATAAGAAATGAACAGGAAACGCTGATGGTATAAATGTTAATCAATTCATATAATTCATACTTGTTTTTCTTTTTTTGCCAACTTGGACAGAACTTTACTGAAAAAGAAAAACATTGACATTATAAGAATGAGATCAGGGACTTGCATAAATATTTCAATTTTATTTATCTTCAAATCAAATGGGACCTGACAAATTTAAATCCTAACGGGGTCATCTAGGTGTATATTGCTACAAGGCTTTTCCTCTCAGAACTAGACTGTTAGGTGGCAGAAGTAGGCATTTAGCATTAACGGTTGCACATACAATGGAAATACATCATAGAGAAAAGGGAATAGAAGTTTAATTTTCTTCTGATTAACTCTGGTTTTAATGCCATGATCTCTAGTGGTGGCATTTCTAAATCGCACCAGGTAAAGAAAGACTAGTAGGAAGAAATACAACACTGACAATTGTAAGTTTACTTATTTTTTAAAATTGAGGAAAATACTATTTTAGCCTTTCAATTTACTCACAAAAGCTTAACAATAGGGTCAGGACTCTCCTGCTTTCCTGATATCATCACAGAAGCTAGGGAAGAATGTGGTATAGCACCAGCCAGCTCTCATTACTGCTAAAGGAATGTGGTGTGATTAAACCTCCATACAGAAAGAAATGGAATGTAATTCTTACATGTTGATGTGCTTTGAACACATACCACATGCTGAGGAATGAGTTTCCAGTATATTCTTCTATTTCTAAAGATGGAGAGGACCTTACCTCAGAAAAATTAACTACAAATATCCTCTTCTGAAAATGAGTACTATTTGGTTAAAGACATTTGTTCACATTTTCCAGTGTCCAAAACCTCTAAATCCTTCGAGAAATATCTGAATGCAAAGCCTTCTTTTTCTGCCTATTGGGAAATTCAAGAATCAAAGCCCTTTTTTGTGCAGTCATGGAACAAAAGAAGTTTTTGTAGTTCCACTTTTTTTTTTTCCCAAAAGTTTACTAACATAATACCAACCACTAAATTATTTTGTCCTTGTGGAGCCTTCTGCAGCCCCGCTGGGGTCCTAAAGATGGTTGAGCTTACCCCCTTCATATATAATTTCCTGCAACCCTTGAGACTGTGTCTCAGTCGCTAACTTCTGGCTGCAGACGACTCGGTGGAACTCCCTCCCGAGTCCAGCAGTGAGGCTGTCATCCAAAAGTGAGCTGTGGGGTGATGCAAGGCACTCCCTTCCCTCCGGATCTCAGCTAGCTACCTCATCTTGAAAGGATTTGTTGCTCAATGATATCAGCCCAGAGTGAAACACGGATCACTTGTCAGCAGTTAATGATGATATTTCCCTGCTTACCTCACAAGATCAGCACTATGGAGTGAAACCTCTTTTCACCCTTGAAATGGTAATGCACAAAGACAAACTTTACTGTAAATGCTTGGCTTATAAAACCCAAAGCAGGATCAGTGAGATATCTATTACCTTAATCTCAGAGTATTTTGAGAACTTGGGGGATAGCACTGGCACAAGAAACTCCCTGGATCATGAAATCTGTGTGAAATTCTTTTATTGGAAAAGTAGCACTTTCAGTCATCAGGTACTGTCAATATTTTTGGTCTCCCGCATTCCCTGCAGTTCTTGGCACTTCGCAATGCTTCCTGAACGCTGCTCAATGCAGTTTTTGCACAGATTCCTCACTGTCTGGCAATTTTACTCAGTGAAGGGGAACAGCGAATAGAAATACTGATTTCTCTATAGAATAGTGAGATATGATGGGACAGAAACATCCGTAGAACACCCAGGGTACATTTATAGTAATGTTTTTACAAAGCCAGAAGGAAAAAAGACTGTATTTTGCACCTGGTACGTTTGTCTGTCCAAGTGCAACCTGGTCTAGGTCATTTCTCCTCATGTTAGTGGAGAGAGGACACAGTCCTGACCTAAATGGGGTCATTACATGTTAGAAAAATCTACTGTAGCCTAGAAATATGTGAAGCATGTGAAAAGTGGCTTTATATTTTGTTTTTCTATTCTGTTCAGCAGTGGCCAGGTAATGTTGCAATATTTGCAAACCAGCTGCCATTTGCTTTATGCAGTTAGTTTTACAAAAGGCTAATAACCTGGCTGTATGAATTCGCAACAGATTGAAAATTTAATATGGCCTTACATCATTAAGGCTGGTTTTATTTATTTATTTTTTAATGCAGGAATCAGGACACCTGGAACGTCTTTGTGGTGTGTCTGTATTTACATAACTAAGAAATAACTTTTTAACTGTTTCAGTACAGCATATAAATTACATCTGTGCTGTGAAATTAATGAAGATTAGACTTGACTAGTTTTAAATGTTCTTTGCTTGAAAAAATGGCTAAGCAATGAATCAGTGCATTTTCTCTTATGCTTTGTCTATTCTGTAAAGAAAGGTCCATTACTAACACTTGCTAATGTTGTGATTAACAGGCATTGCACAGGAAAGAAATAGCTCTGTATGAAGAAAGGGCTCGATCCCAGGACTCCTCCACTCCCAGGTGAATTAACACTGCAGCAGTGGCGCTGCTGCAACAGGAAGCACTGAAAACTTCCTCCTGCTGCTTGAGACATGCTGTGGAAGGAAGGAGATGCGAGTCTGCACAACCCAGCGCTCTGAGCACCGCATCCCACTTCCGAGGCCTTCAGTGGACCCCGATTTGACTTAATACAGCCCAAGCACTGACCTCCGTCCGGATGGGACACCTCCAGGTATGCTTATGGTTCAGTTCTGCCTTCTGGGTGACTTTACCTGTGTTAGGTAGAAGCTACGTTATAAATTCAATGAAGCATGGGTCACGTTTTCATCCCACGTTTGAATCCTCATCCATAGGATGGATCCTGATCTATGACTACCCGTGCGATAATACGTTACAGGCTGCCCGTGCAATGACACAACCGCATGATTTGTGTGCAAAGCATAATAAACCATTAGTAAGGTTATGAGTAAGAAGAGGTGCTAGTCATCTTCTAACGTGAAGGTGACTGTGGCAACCTTCAGGGCTCGTCTGGGAGGCCCCATGTCCTCCACAGGCCCCCCTGAAAGCTGCCTGCCGGTGCTGCGTCTCTCGCCGCCCTCGCTTTCCTGCAAAGCCTGGAAGTCCCTGAAAGAGTCAGAGACGGGAGCAAAATTAGGCCAGGCAGCGCGGATACAAGGCAGCTTTTCCCTTCTCCAGGACAGTCCTTTGCCAGACTTGGCTGCTCGTCCCGACAGCGCTGGCCACCAGCGAACTAGCCCAAAGTTGAGTGGTTTCCACCACCAGCTTGCCAGACCTCACTCAACGCAAACCATCACCCAGCATCAGAGGCGCTCAGCCGCGCCACCCAACCTCTCGGCGTGC